GTGAAACGCAAGCCTGCACTCAGACAGCAGCGAGTACACGTAACACCTGTAAATATGCTGCGCTTCTTCTCGGCAACTCCGCCTGTCTCGCACTCGGTCTCGAGGTGTTTCTACTTGAGTCCTCCCCCTTGTAGGAAGCTCTTTGTAACAAACACTCGGGAGAGATCGAGCTGTAAGTAAACTTTAAAAGTCGATTAGGAAATGTAAAGGCAACGTAATGAATAAGCACGGTATATCTGTGCTGAGAATCAATCAGGGTTCCTGGTCAATACAAAGTGACCTAATGCTGACTTTTAAGTACAGCTTGATTTTTGAGCACATGCTCTCAGCAGACAAATAATAAGCTGTTCTGAGCCACTATTTTGATCAGCTGAGTTGAGCAGAATCAAGCACAACTTGATCCTGTCAGAGTTGAAATGACTTTTAATCAAATAGTTTCCCCTCTGCTACAGACACATCCTGACGTTTAGTAAGCCATAATGTGCAAACGTTTTGTGTTTTCAGTCAGTCAAATGCAGATCTGAGAAACTGGACTCGTTGTGTTGTCACTCGTAGATGTGAGGATGCTGTAAAACAACAGAAAGCATAAGATGCATCCAAATCGATTCCTCTGTTGCTGCTCGATTCTGTGACCTTTGGTTTTATCGTTCGATGTCGCAGAATTAATTTTTTTAAAGGAGGATCACAAGATTACGAGAAAGAATTTATTTTTCTCTCCTGGAACTCCCCCGTTTTTTGTTTTTTTTTTTCCGTTACAATCTATTCGTTGTGCGATACACACGTTAACACCTTTATGCATCCAGAGTCTTTGTGATTCAGCTTGGCCTTGCTGCCGGCACACTGTGGGATAGTCCTTTAGGAAAAGCACCAAATCATACCAAATCTTCCCTCATTTGTTGGCCCCTGTTTATTTATTTGATGAAAGAGATTCTTTCATATTGTGAGAAAGAGGGAAAAAATGTCTTGAAATGCTCACCTTTCATGTGCATCATTTTATTCTTCAAGGTCATCGGACAGTTGTCAGCGAATAAAGAGTGGGCTGATTCTTGCTAAACAGTGTGAGGATGGAAGATGATGTCGAGTCTACGCATGACTCAGTGTGTGTTAGGATTTTATGAAAACAAGGTGGTCTCAGCATCAAAAGCTAAAGACATAGACAAAGGATTACTAACTTTTCTCTTTTTTATCAACTTGCTTGTACAAAAAAAGAAGAAAAAAAATCAACAATGCAGAAAGAGACAGTCAGAATCAGCTTTATTGGCCAAGTATGTGTACACATACACTACGAGGAATTGGGTTCTTTCTCTCAAACAGCATGTCTAATATAAACAAAAAAAATATATTTTTTTTTTCAGTAATTAAACACCTTTTACATCTACTGTTTTTCTTCAGCCCAGTGTTTAAGAATACCAAAAACACTGATAACACGCAGACTGCACTGCAGCACTTCACCTACACTATAGAGTGCAAACTTGTAAGTATTGACCTGACCTCAGGATCCTTTACTTGTTTTTCTTTCGACAGTCCTGCAAAAATCAATAGATTTCAGTTCATCCTCGTGACTTAAATCTAAACTCCATGAGATACGGTCAAGAACGGTACGCTCGGTATTCCTATTCCCAAACAATTCCTCAAGTGCTTTTTGAACCTATGAAATTTGATGTCTTTCTTCAGGGAGCAGTATACTCAAGTGCATGAAGAATGAATGAAGGTTTGTTCCTATGCGATGAAGGTCACAACAAGGGCCACAATGCACTGGAATTGGTTTCAATATATTCTTTTGAACTAGCTATGCAATTCAGGCTTTTTAATTTTGTATGCCTCTAGAGTGAGAACTCCTTTCAGAGATGGCAGTGGCTCCAAACTAAAGAGCATCTTTGAAATGTACGTCTGCACAGGGAAAGTGAACACTGACCCCCCCAGCCCCCTTTTAACTTTGTATTGAACCCAACTGAGATTAAAAAGAGATTATGATCATGAAGTACGACATTCATCCGCTAATATGAAGCTATATGAAAACATGTGCCATTTTAATCTTAATAAAAGAGACTAGTTTTGTTTATGCTATGCTGCAGCCATATCTGCAACCTTTCAGTTTTGTCTTGTTGCCACGATGAGGGTCAGGGGAATACATCCAAAACAATATGTCTTTGTATGTTGTTTGTTGTAACATAGGGGACATATTTAATGTTTTGCAGTGTTTTCTGATTTGTATGCTTGCCTGCGGCGATGGCCTTCAACATTGTTCCTCCATGCCACACTCACATCAAAACACTTAATTTCTCTACTCAGGTACACAAAGCCTCTCCTCCTTCTCAAAGTGCAATAGAACCATCACAGACACGTCCATGTTATACGTAGCTCACCGGTTCAGGGTTCAAGGGTATATACTGCACAAATGCATTAAATGTGCAAACATTCAAAGGGAACGAAGAAAAATTCCTGCATTTCCTTGATCGCAAGTGAACCCTTTCTTTTCCAGCTCTTCTTCGCCTGGCTTTCAGTCTGCATTACAGCTTTAGTACTTTTGTGTTGTTTGCTCGGCTATTTTGTATATTCATGGAAACTTGGAATGAATAAGAAATCAGTGGTAAGCTCCTCAGTGTAAGGAGTGGGGGGAAAAAAACACAATCGCGTACAGAGAAACTCTTCCTTGTGAAGTGGTTGTTGATAACTTGAGAATGCCTCGTAAATGAAGACCAACCCTGCCCAAAAAACACTGCATGTACTACAGAAACTTTGTACACAGCTTTCCTCACACAGGAACACAACTTCAGTGGAACAGATGAAATCCTGCAGTGGTGATGTTTAATGGATGGTATGGCAAGAAAATGTCTAAAAGCCAATGTGATAAATGACAGCTATGATCAAACCTCTGTAAACCTCTGTATTGAAACTGTGTTGAAATGCTGAATGTGTTCAGGGACCACCCTATGTTAATCTGCGTTAATGTCCCAATACTTCATTGTGGAGCACACATCCAACCCCAGTATAACGTACTTTTGTCACCAAGAAAAAGTCTTTTTTTTAATGTTCTTCTACATGTCAGTGATTCTGCAGCTCCAGAGGTCCCACTGCCCTCAGCTCATCCTGAACTCTGGCCTCCATGTTAGACAGAGGCTAGGGAATGGAAAATTTCCCTATGGGAATAAGAGAAGTTTCACCTTATCATTAATTTAGCACAAGAGGTCCATTTGCATGAGACACGAATGACTGAATGTGTTCAGGCAATGTGGGAAAAGGAGATTCTTCTTATGAAGTGTTAAGATTGGAGCACAGTAGTTCTTGCCTTTCTTACCAAACTACTTCTCACACATTTGTGCTGTCCTGTACTTTTTAAACGTATGCACAAAGTACTCTACTTTCAACTCTGTTCGATACTTGAAATAAAAAAGCATAGTTGGTAACGCAGGCAGGAATACAGAGAAGCTTGGAGTTAAATGGTAATAGAACGTGAACCTAGATCAGTGTCAGCTGCTCAAATCTGTAGTGTCCATATACTGAGCAATAATAACTGATTAACTTAGCCTGGGATTAATGAAAGGTCCTGAACACTAGAAGAATATCCTCTTATCTGTTTGAATGCATGACCTTGTACAGATGTGTCATTTCTTTCCCCTTAAGCAGCAGCTGTTGTGTCTGGGTTGCAGTCTGGTCAGTATTAAATCTTGGATACGAGGGAGAGCTACCCTGACATCTCTGTGCAAAGAGTTCAAGGCAAAATCAGATTTTCTTTTAAAATTATTCTGAAAAATGGGAACAAATATTATTAGAAATATGCACTGGTAAACACATTGCAGGTAAGGGAGACACGACAGAGTGCATAATTATTATTATTACCTTTAGCAGCCTTACAAACATCTAGAAAATGCTAAACATACAACATAAAATACAAAATATATAGCATAATACAGAATTTACACACACATGTAATGCAAATCTTTAGCACTGTCTAACACAGGGTTGTCCAACATAAGGCCTGGGGTCCTATAATTGGCCAGGCAAAGACTACAGTCCGGCCCACTAAATGGCTGTGAGGATGTAGATTTTGAACTTTAAACGGTTAAAACTTTGAGCATTTGTGCTAAAAATTGTTTAAAAAAAAAAAAAAGAAAGGAAAAAACCCCCAAAACATTACATTTAAAACTACAGGAAACTTTCCTGTCATTTTACTCATTGTTCGTGTAGAACAAAGACTTTTTTCTCTTACCTCTGGGATGAAATGTTTAGTTAAACATCTTCACACTGACAGAAACGTGAGTTTCACTGGTCCGGTCCACGTAAGATTAAAGTGGGCTGTATGTGGCCCTCATTGTAAAGAGTTTGACATCTGTGCTCTAAAACATCCACCGGTATCCTTCATTACATTCTTTCCTATGCTTTTAAATTCACAAGTAGATGCAGGTATCTGTCAGGACTGTAAGCACATCGAAAAGCGATCACATAGCGGAGCATTACTGTTAGTAGTGGGACAGAGAAGGGTTCAAAGGTTAGTTGGAAGTTGACCTTTGTAGAGAAAAATAAACCAGTGCTGTTTTTTGTGATTGGTCACTGATGAGCCCATCAAATCATAATATCCAGCTCTAAACATGTTTTATCTGATTGCGCACGATGTACTGCCCTGCAAACAACGAGTATAAAGATGGCTTATAATTTAAAAGAAAAAAAAAAAGACTTGTTATAGGAGGAGCAGTTCAAATTATCTAAGTGATGTTCCTCCTTCTCACTATGAAAAGTTTTGCAGAAGTTAATCACAACTGTTTTAGTAGAATACGAAACACCTCTGTTATTTTGTATAGCAAATAATAATAATAAAAAAAGCAAGTAGCCCCCCAAAAAACACGCTTGGATGTATATTTCCATTTTATGATTACGACATGATGATTCTCGAGATTTTATTTGAATAAAATGCTACATTTTTTGGCAGATTTCCTTATAAGACCCCCATCCTGAGACGCTGGGTCCGGGGATTTTCAGAATAAAAGCGAAACACAGATGCGCACATACTAAGTTGCTTTTATTAATACAGAACTGCATGCTACAGAGACTGTACAGCATAAACATTTATTCATTACAAAAAACATGGTTTTAGAACCATTTAAAATAACAGGAAAAAACAAACAAAAAAATATAAGAGCATAAAATAGAACAGGAACATCACAGCCGTTAAGGAAACATTCAAACTATTTATCATTAGCATCTTAATAAACCAGAGAAGAAATCGACAGATTACAGTCGCGTCATGTCAACTACAATGGCACCGAGTGGATGATTCTCTTGTAGCTTTTTTTACAGCCTCTTGCAACATCAACATGCCTATTTTTTCTATCTACCTATATGTAGTAGTGTACTTAAAAGTGGCAGTTTGTGTATTTTTTTGTATTTAATAGTTTTTTTATGAACTTCCTAATATACATAATTTGGCCCTGGTGGGTTTATACAGTATGATGTCCGTCTTTTTATTAAGTTTAAATTTTAATATTTGACAATTTGCTACCAAACACATTTGTTATAGCAACATTTATACTACATACATAGCAATCTATGTAACGTCACAGCAAAAAATGGTATCGAAATGAAAAAAACAAAACAAACAAACAACAACAAAACAAAACAAAACAAAAAGAGATCCCTACAGCATGGTTGGGGTGGGGGGCGGGGGCAGAGGAAAAATTATCACAAAATTTTGGCACGGAAAATCTGTACACGAATCTACAGTCCGAGAGATGTGACTGTGCAATAAAAAAGAAGGGCATCTGACACTTTTCCAACTACTGAACACGCGGTACCCACTGTCTCGTGTTTCAAGTTTTCTTTTCTTCTTTTTTTTCCTGTAAAATGGCTTATAGACGCATTTCTTGAAATGAAGTTGTGCATACATCTGTTCATGAGATCTACACAGTACACTGAGCGGAATCCAGGTTTTTCGGAGAGGAAAGATAACAAAAAGATTTGCCTTTTTAAAACCTCCTTGTAAAAATGGATCGTTCGTATAGTTGCTTACCTTAAGAAAAAATATTTGTACAATGTATTCAGAAAGAAAAAAAAAAGAGACACATACAAGATACAACAAGCAATCTCTAAAGCAATAAATACTACTGGTCCTAGCGTTGTGACATTTTGAATTTAATAACCCACAACCCTCCCACCCGACCTCCCCTCAAGCCCACCCAAACTTGCCTGACTCCACCCCAAAGGTAAACAACAAAGAAAAAAAAGACAACGCAGTGGAAGAATGCATATTTAACACAGTAATCCCCTCCCGCCCCGTTATTCTGTACATTTAAACAAGAACAAGTAACATCACAATTAAAGTTGTTCCTCAGAGAGGTGTCACCGCTAGCCTCATGCCCTCCAAGAGTTTTGAACAGATGTCGAATGATTGGTTCGCAAGCTCGTATTTAATACAAATAAAGAAGGAGAACCAACTCTTTCAAGAAAAGGGCTCGTTGAATAATCTAGCCTACCTTTTTTATATCCGTCTTTTTAAACATTTGGATGCTGAACTAGATAATTTCTGTTTTGCGCTGTTTTAAAACTACAAAAAAGACAAAAACAAAATTCATAAAAATTTTGGCAGATTCACAAAGCTATACTACAGCTCATTGTATCATTTCTTTATAATAATTAGATTTGTCTGATAATGACGGGTCAAATATTGACCAATGAACTTTAATAAAAACATAACCTAAAATTCCAAAGCCTTATGGCACAGAAACAGAAAGAGAAAAGAACCGAGGGCGAGTGAAACGGAGCAGAGAGAGGGCCTAGAAAGATGTTTGTGTGAGTGTGTGTGTGCAGAGCTAAAAAAACAAACGGAGGAGGAGAATAGGATAGACTATTCTATAGACTTGGTCACTAGCGACAGAGGCTGTGGGGCTGTGGAGGGGAGGAGCGAGTGGGAATGACACAGCGATGCCGAGGGCCGGGCCATCGAGGACGCCACAGAGGAGCCCGGCTGCCGCGAGGACGAGACGTCACGGTGCTCCAGAGCTCCGTTGTGGGAGGAGGCGGCGGGCGTTTTGCTAGCTGCTGCGGCAGAGTTTTCCAGCTGAACCAAAGATGGCGGTGGAGGCCCAGCCAGGAGGTGCGGGTGGTGGAGTGGCTGGTGGGCCGGTTTCATAGTCAGTGAGAGAGGTTGCATTTGTTCAGTCTGAGATTTGGACTCTTTTGAGGAGGGGGAAGGAACCACTGAGGAGGGGGAGGATGGGGGGGAGTCTAGTAAGCTTCCGTCCGTAGAGGGAGGACTGGCACAGCTGCCTTCACCTTGGATGTAGCGAATGCACTTTTTTTTTCTCCTAAAGGACAAGGTGAGAGAAAGAGAGCGTCTCTCAGTGTCACAGCTTCACACTGAATATCATCTTAGCACTGTTGCTGACTTAAATGCACCTTTCCCTTCAGAAATTTGTGGGGAGAGGGTTTGTTAAAAAGAAACAATACTCGATGGATAACGTTTGGAGGTGCATTTAAGCAACTTTGTAAAGGAGGAAGGTGGTAGAAATGATAGTCAGTTTCTAAGTCATTAGGCAGGACAGACACTGAAGAAAGATCGCCTGGACAGGAAGCAGAAAGGGAATGAGAAGCACGCACATGAGAGATGAGGACGATGAAGAATGAAAGAGATGAGCTGTGGTCGCGTTTGCTCTCCTAACGCTCTGCTGTTCTTACAGGAAGAACTGCAGCCTGTTGTCTCTAGCACAACTGTTACTGGACCCAGCTCACTGCTCTACTTCTATCAGACTCTACTCTCTCTTCTCCTGAGGGAATAGAGTTTGGATATGAGGCGAAAAAGTCAACAGGATCCAAACTGCCCTGCATCTGCCCCACAGACACAAGTGTGTGTGTGTGTGTGTGTGTGCATGAGGGGGGTCAAAGCACCATGTTTGCATTCCTGCCTGGGGTTGGGACCCTCCCCCTGCCTGCCGTGTCCCGAGGCCAGGCCCGTTGCACTCGCAGAACCCGGTGAACAAAACACAGAAGGGAGGGGGGGTGATCAGGAGAGCAGGGGATTGTTGCATTTTTCTGTGGTGACTCTGCTCTGAAGGCTGTGCTTCAGATTTGGTTAAGGGGGAATCTCTGCCCACCTCATCTTTACCCTGACCCTGACAGTGACCCCTCTCTCTCTCAGCTCTCTATTTTATCACAAGAATGCCCGAAGGCCGCGGAGTACCAGTATTTAAGACTTACAGGGATGTCGAGTAAGAAAAAATAAATAAAAATAGACCAAAAACTGAGCCTTTTGGAACATGTAACGCTGACTTACTGTTTAATTAAACCTTTATTTCTGTTAACTCTGATCTACATAAACGCAAACGGAGAGCAGATCACTGAGGATGAAAGGAAGGAGGGACATCGACAGATTACATATAAAAGCCCACAATCGCATGCTGGGTGGGGGGGGGAAAAAGGCATGCATTTCTGATGAAGTCAACACAGTGCAAGCACACAACACCAGGACAGCAGAAAAGAGTGAGGATGAGGCTGTTAAGTACATCCTGTGCCGATACTGTAGCTTTTTTGGACGGTGCGGCGCATCGATCGGGCGTAAAAAGGTATCGTTTTGCTACTACATGCGCGCCCCGCTCTCGATAACTGTCTGTCAAACTGCAACAAATGAGCTAATATCCATTTTTTAACAGACATATTGATTTATGGTATGTGCCCGTGTATGATATTGATTTCTCTGTCTCGGGGGAAATTATAGCAGATGCATCTTTTAGGAAATGGAGCCCAGAGAGAACTTTTAACCTCTCTGCTCTTAAAATGAAGGCTGATTTACTGCACTTTTCAGTCTCCTGATCTCATGATGTGCTATTATTAGAAATAAAGCCATGTTCCTGATAATGTGTGTGTCAGCTGTAAAGGAAGGGGCCAGCTGGAAGCTAACGGTTACAGAAAAAACAGAAAAATGACCTTTTGGTGTTCATCTTGCTACAAAATTTTTGGCTTTTTTTTTTTTTTAAGCTCATCTGTGTTTTAGAAACAGTGAAAATGAAACATTAAACAGACAATGTGCTGCGATGAAATGTGTAGAGAAAGAGTGGGGCAAGATGTGGTGCAAGCCAGACACAAAGAAGGGTATTACTTAGCAGAAACAAATACCTACCATGAAAATATTCCCAATTCAAAGACTGCTTGTGTCAGAACAGAAAGACAACAGGTAGGGACTAAGTAAGGGTTATCGAAGAGGAGTTTGGAGGAAGAAGAGGTGGAGAAGGAGGAGGAAGAGGGCACAGAAAAGAGTGTCACTGAGCAGGCCCTCAGAGAAAGCAGGGCTAAATTTGTAAGCATCACAGTGTTATTCAAAAAGAGTGCCAATTAGGACATACATGACATTTAGGATGGGAGGGAATTATCCACTGCCTGGAGAGAAAATGGATTTCAATCGTAGCAGCTTAGACGGTCAGAAATGTTCTGCTAAATCACATTAGGAGCCATGATCTTTCAACATGTGTTTGGATAAAATATTTGGAAGTCTTATTTAGAAATCCATTTTCTGACACTTGGCTTGAACTGACTTTAGAGGAGTAGGAAACTTCTCAGTTAGGAAAAGGGGAGCTGAGAAGTTTTCCATCTGTTACCACAGTGATGGAAACGTGTTTTTAGCAAGACATCTGAGCCAGTAATCAAGGAGAAGATGCTCATTGTGGATGTCTTTCCTCCCATTGCTACTACAGGAGTTATACCTGCATGGTTTGCACCATAAACTCAGCTGGTCAAGCCCGAACAAGGCACGACACTTCTTTGGGGTATTTGCATCTGTTAGCCAAAGAGGTAGACACAAACACACACACAGAGACAAAAAGGAAAAAAAAAGAAAGAAAAAAGAAAATGGACACGTCATTGCACAGACAAAAACATGTAGCCAGGGCTTAGATTTAGGCTGGCAACACTGGGATGTCCTCCATATTGACCAAGCCATCAGGCTCCAGAACCTCCAAGCCCCGACCTGCCAGTTTAGGACTTCTGATTAATCTCAGTAAGGCTCATTGTAACTGTGCATCCTGCAACTTTGCAACTTGAACACATACACACAGACACCACTCATACAAGCACTCGTACGCAAAACCTTTTTCCCCAAACAGGAGGTAAAAAATCAAATAGGGTGAACCCAGAGATAGACCGGCAGGGTGTGGCTGGAGGAAGCTGAGAGGTCATAATAGCCTGGCGGGACAGACGGGGGAGGGAAGCGAAGAGAAAGGAAAAGCAGCAGCATAAAAGAGAGGAGGAAGTCCCAGCGTAGAGTGACCCAGCCTTCACCTGGCCCTGGCCAGTGCAAGCACACACCATACACACCTGCACGGGCCACACCAGTTATTCTGTTGGTCGAGCCCAAAGCGCGCTCGACACTTCTTAGGAGCGCTCAGGTCTGATGCCGCAACAAGGAAGGGAAGCCAGCAGAGAGGAGCAATAGAACCAAAACCAATAAAAAAAAAATAAGGAACAGAAATTAAAAAGAGGAGAGAAATAAGGAGAAAAAACAGTGAATCTATGAAGCTTGGCAGTGGCTCATTTTGCAAGAAATCAAAACCCCGCACCCAAAAGAAAAAGAAAAAATAATTCCCCTTAAAGCCATTATCAAGTGTGCCTTTAAAGATAGGGCTGAACTCGATTAGTAAGTTTCAAACACAAGTAAAAATCAAAATGCATGCAAATTATCCAATCGGGATGTTAACAGTGGAAACTTTTCAGTAGCATAATCTAAATTCTGGCTGGAGTTAAAGCTGAAGATAAAGACCGATTTGGCTGAGAGGGGTATAAATGGAGCAAATGCAGGTTGGATTAATTTACGGTTAGATGCTATCAGCGCACTACGGTTTCAAAGAGACGAGGTCAAGGTGGCAGAACTAGGAAGAAGTAGCAGATTGCTGGAGCAGCACAGTCGTGAGTTAGCCCTAGCCAGGGGAAGGATTAAAAAGGCTGGAATCTGGAGAGGGAATCTACTCTTTAGACCTGGCATCAAACAGTTGATTATTTTCCATCAGCATTGGCGGTCTGTTGCGGAACAGCTGCCAGTCACTTGCTAGCTCTACCCAGTAATCAAGTCATTATCAGAAATAGAGCTGAGTGACAGCAAAACGCTGTGGTGGAAGCGTTTGAGTCCAGGCTTTGTCTGAGCAGAGACTTATTCGACAGAGGCTGGTCCAAACTCATGCTGGCCTATAGGAAAGGCAAAAGTGCAGCTACTGAAGCATATAGATTAAGGAGGTTTACCCTGACATTGCAGCCTTCAGGTCATACTTCATAATGATAATCTAGCTTTATATATAAATATATATATATATATATATATATATATCACCAGGTCCTCAAGCATACTGCATAGTAATTTGAGCTAAATAGCAACAGTAAATGAGTGTAAAATGAATTAAATATAAGCTACCCTGAAGTCAAATAAACAATGGCAACATTTTTGAAGAAAAGAAAGCAGCAAACAAAGCAAAAAGAGCATATTTCAAAATATAGGATTTAAGCTTAAACCTGCCTCACTGCACATTTATGAATGGATAGATATAGATATATAAATGTATACATAAATTTAAAAGGAAGGAAAATAAAACAGTTAGTGATTTAATACTCAAAATGACATTAGCACCTGTAATCGGAGGGAGTGAAAGGCAAGGGTTTGGAAAATATTCTCTGCGTTCTGGAAAAAAAAAAGAACAGATAGAGAGGCCTTCAAGAAGAAATCCGTCACCAAAACGAGCGCAAAATACATGAGAACAAGTCGTCATTGCTCCTTACATCATCAGAATTAAAAAGAATAATGAATGAATGAATGAAAATCACAGGTTTAGCAAACCTCCTTAATTTTTAAGATATAGGTGATTTGTTTTGTTTTGTTTTTTCCTCAAGTTGGTATAAAAGCATGCAAGGAAGCAGGCGATGGGAAGGGGAGGTAGGCCCAACAAGCACACGCATGCACAGTCACGCAAACACGCACGCGGTACAGTTGTGCAGTCCGTCTGCAGGGCACAGGCAAGTAAATATAAAACACGCACACAACACTGTCAAAGTTAATGGCTCTCACGATGCTTAAACCTCACATTCTCGTAACATATCACAATACCAGAAGGCTAAGGGCCAGGGGAGGGGAGGGGGGGTGAGAAGGACTGTGGGGGGTCATGCATATTCAGTCGCTATTAGCTAGGGAGAGCAAGGGAAACTGGAAAAAGGAGGGAGGGGTGGGGTTTACAAGCAATTCTACTATTTAAATATTGCATTGGGTAGCAACTATACCAAAAAAAAATAAAGAGAAAAAGCCAGGCAATATAACTCACATACACACACAATAAAAAAAAATTATAAAAAAAAAACATAACACAAAAAACTAGCTACACTTTTATCTTGCAAGATGTCACATCTGCCTGACACATGATGGGGCTCTTCTAATATGAGAGATAATTGCAGCTCACTTACCATTGCTCTCTGCTTGCTGCTTTTCCCTTTTTCTCTTCTTCCTTTTCCCCTGTTGGTTAGCCGCCAAAAAATAGAAAGAAAAAAATAGACACAGACAGGAACCTTAGTTATTATATTGCAGAATGCCCAAAACATGAAACAGAGAATAGCACTCATCTTCGTGTTTACTTATTTATTCATTCATTCTTTCTCTGCCTTTTTTCTGTCTTTGCCCTCCGGTTTGCAGCAGCCACTGCAGGCCAAGACCAGAATTCTCCCTCCTCTCTCTCCCTATTTTTTGGCTCTTTTCTTCTTGTTCTCTAATCTTTTGTTTCATTTTCCTCTGTTTTGTGAATGCCTAGGCATCTCGACGCACTTCTTATTTGGAAGGCGGATTTCTCAAGGCTGCTCTTGGGCGACTGCAGTGGTCAGACTGATCCCAAGATGAGAATCAGGTATGCGTGGGTCAGAGCGAACTATCCAGGCTACAAAACATTTCACACTTTAAAATCTCAGCTTTAATTTGAGTAGTTTTACAATGACATAGCAAGAGCTATGTGGGATATACTGCACTTCTTGGGCAGCTATGTGTTGCTCACGTGGCTCAAAGCTCACTGAGCATTACCGAGCATTGTAGTTCAAGGTGGTTTGAGGTATCCATGTAAAGTGGCATTTAAGGTACTTGTCTTTCCAAAATCACATGTGTATATTTTGAAAACCCATGTGCACAGAGGTAAAACTCGCCAACAACCAACTACAACTCTTTCAGATTGGAGGACTAATTTATAGCCCCTATTAGACAAGCAGGTTTTAATGAGCACCCTGGTCACGTTTTTATGAGGTAAGATTTACTTGCTCACGAACTTTAAATGTCAGCAAGTAATATTTGAATGCCGAGGATGCTTTCCAGGATGTACCCGCCAGCAATCATGATGTTGAACCCCTCGGTAATCCACAAAAACACATGCAAAAAGAAACAGGTTGAGTTGTGCAACCAAGTTCTGTGGAATAATGACAAAATATCAACCTGGCCAGTGGCATTTACTGATGATTTCACTGCAGATAGAAGCAACTCGAAGTATACAAAAGCATTTAGTGTGGTAGGATTCTCCGAAATGCCTCTAAACCCGTTCAGAATGGCAAACCTAAACATTTACCCAAAGCAACCCCAGAGCAATTCAGGGGGAAGAAGTTAAACACCCTGGAACGGCCAGGTCAGTAATCTGATCTTAATCGGATTGGGCTTAATTCCACTTTCTGAAGACCGGAAAGGCAAAGAGGCATGGCAGCAGTCATGAGGTGAAGGCTGCAGCAGTAAAGGGCAGGGAGAGCACCACCGGGGAAGCTACAAAGCATCTGCTGATGACTATGGACCAGGGACCTCGGGCATTTACAGACTGCACAATATTTTAAATATAATGTAGTTTGACTTCACATATGTCTGTAAATGACCTTTGTTCCCTTGGGGGGATAAACCCACTCAAATTAATACTAAGACTTGGTACTTTGCATCCTTTATTTATTCCTTACTGGACTGTCATTATCTGTAGCATGATAAGGTGGATTTAAGACCAGAGGATTTTTGTCCTAGATCTACATGAACAGATTTTGATCTGTGGGGCAAAGAAAGGAAAAAAAGCAAAAATAAATGGCCTTGAATATGTGACCTAGCGAAAGGGGGGGAAAGAAGAGGCTAATACGACTTGTAAACTTAAAAACTTACATAGTTGTCTCGTGCTGACCAGCCTGGGTACAGCTGCATGTGGAGCTGTCGTTCTTTCCTGGCCAGCTCGTAGTACTTGGCCTGCTCCTCCCGCGATAGGGCGTGCCACTGCAAAATGAGAAACCAGGCACAGAAAGACGAGATTTTCACCCAGAACAGAGATAAAAATAGAAGAATGTGTGCATGTTGTGTACTTTCTGTAAATCCCAAAGTATGTCATCATTAACTACGACTCTTTTCTTCCATCCCATTAGACCCTTTACAGCCATGTTATGATTGAAATCAGCATGGCTGAATGTCTTGTGCGAATAAGCTGGTAGGACTTACCCTTCGCCCCAGGATCTGGTTGATGGCAGCACTTTCCTTGAGTGTGCACTCAGCCACCACTTTGGCCCGCATCTCCTTCATATAGAGCATGAAGGCATTCAGAGGTTTCTTTATGTGGACCTCTTTCTTTTTCTCTTCTACCTTTTTACCGTCTGACTGTTTCCTGTGATGGGGCAGAGAGCAGTGAGATGAGCAGAGTCTATCTCCAAGTGGTCACCAAAAGTCAGTAATAGGAGAAAGTTTACTCACGAGCTGTCGAGAGAGCTGATGTCACTGTGCGAGGATTCCTGCTTGACGTTGGGTGTTACGATGGCTGGGTGAGGGATGCCCGTGGTGTGCAAACTGTGGTGAGGGGGCACCATGTGTGGGGGGAACCTAGAGGACAGAAGACTGTGTAAATCGTCAGAATGAACACAGGTGAAATGAGAAGATGGAGCACATGTACACACAAGACTACACGTCAAAGCACATCATGTATTTTCAGTTTCTTTCACAGAAATGGAATTGACCCTTAGCCACACTAAATACAAACATTCACATGAAAATTTCCTAAGTATTAATAAACATTTATAGACTTATCTACTCAAAATGACAGTTTACTCAGTCACTAAAGCTTAAAAAATAGTAAAAAGGTCATTTTCTGTTGCTTAATTACTACAAATCCACACTACACCCAGTCCATTTTTTTGATGGGATACTGGATCCTTTATATGGTAGCTTTATCATGCGTCTCTAACTCTACTGGGACAAACATAAAAAAAAAATAAACATCGTGCTGAATTCAGTAAGACATAAAACCAGTAACTGATGTTTTACTGAGGCCACAGCTCAATGTGAGACAATCAAAAAAAATTGTAACGCCTCCTGCTGGTCAACAGAAAGAACAAGGGTTTAGGGGAAAGGCTTAGCTAATTTAGCTTAGCTAACAGCTTAGCTTGCTGTTAGCTAACATTTTATATGTTAGCTAAAAATGATCTTTGTTTATCAATACTGTTAACTAGTGTTGTGCAATTAATTTTCGCAATGGCTCCCTAAGAAACTGGGACTGTTGTTGAGGGCCACGTCATTCTTAACACATTTTATCTCTTAAAAGCTTATTAGCCGCAGCTTTAGCTAGTCTTGTCCATTTGTTTTCTTAATTTCCGATGGTATGTTAAGCTACCAATTTAATTTGTTCGTCTAGGACTTAAGGGCTCCTCAAACTCCTGTTTTCATAGTTTAATGCCTTCGATAGCTGAGAACTTCTCAGCACGCACATGTCATTGCCATCTATAACAAATGACATATACAATAGGTGTGCACATGGTTTCCAAATACGATTCTACTGGCAATTACTATTTCCATCATTCAGCTGTAGATAACAAGGGGCGATCAAAGATTTCAGTTTATTGCATTTTGCCAGTTAAACGATATGAAAATGCCAGATTTGGGAGAGGTAAAGCTTGAAGTGTTATCTCTTATCAAGGAATTCTGCAAACTAGATGAAAATGTTCTATCATACACTCCGGTATTGGGTCTGTATTTATTTCCTCCCCATTCGTTTCTGCCTATTCAGCACTGTCAGCAGCACTGACATTTTTATCTTCATCCCTCTGCACTCCTATCATCATTTCATCATCTCCAACTGTGCCACATATCGAGGCCAAAAACTCTTATTTATAAAAATCGCTCGCACCGGCTAGAACAGCCATAAGACTCTGCTGTTCTGTATGCGCCAGTGTATGTATGACAATAATTATTTGTGTGCGATTATTTGAACATGCACGTTCATGTGTATGTTTACAGCATGGTGCCTTAGTTCCACGTGACCACACACAAATTCAAGAGAAGAGAGGATGATGAAGGAGAAGAAAAAGGAGAAATAATTCTTTTTTTAAAGCAGCTCATTATCCAGCAGTGTCTGGCTGCATGGCTCCGAGCCAGAATATAATGATGAGGATAAACTCGCCAGGAACAACTAGTTTCTGTTGGAGGCCATCTCAGGGGAGTGCCAGTGCTCCCCCTCAAACTCTTTCCCTCTTTTTCTCCTTTCCCCTCTTCTCCCTTCATCACTGACACATTGGTGTTTGTGCCATGTCATCCGATGATGGGGAGCTCGGCAGCAGTGGCTGCATATCGCCCATCATTAAGGCTGCTGCATTTTCTTCACTCACCCCGTTTCCTCTCTCCCTGTTCACCCCTCCCTCCTTCTCTCTCTGTGCACTTGTTAAAATTTCCTCTGTTCCAAGATCTATTTTTCTCTACTCTCTTCTTCTTCTCTACTCCTCCCTGTCCCCTCACCACCTCCACGCTCCTTCGTTTCCTCTCTCCACCCCTCCTCCTGCTGCCACCACACGGCCCAGGTTATGGTTTAAACATGACGGCCATCCCTTTGAAGCATGGGGGCATCATCATCACCATCATCGGGCTCATCAGCAGCAAGCAGCGCCTTGGACCAATTTAGCCAACACAGAGAAGGAGATGCATTGGAGACCCCACCCATCCACCCACCCCAACCCCGGGGCTCCTACGTCTCAATCTCAAAGGTAAGAATGGCTGGTGGGAAAGGGAGGGGGGGGGTCACCGGCGCAGCAAGCCCAGTGTCAGCCAGTGCCATTTAATTGCCAGTGTGAAGCGATAGCCCCCGTGCCTGTTTAATGTATAATGATCCGGCCGGTGCGCTTCTCCCGTTAACCAGGAAAAGAGAGGGAGTGGGATGACGGGGGAACATATCAAAGGGCAGGCTTAAGCACAAGGGGCAAGGGGGCCTCCACATCCACCCACCTGTCACACATACATTCACACGCACACAGACAATATGGGGGACCTGCACTGGCTCCAACCCTATTATCAAAATAATGTCTTTCATTTGCTCCGCTGACTGTCTCTACTCTCCTTGGCTCTTTTTCCTCCCTTCCTACAAGAATGTATTTTTTAACAGGACCTAGGTGTAAGGTGCTCATGGGGGGGGGGGACTACGAGGTACCGGATTCATTCCTTGAATCCTAATTCAGTTCGGGCTAAGGCACCCGGGACTGATATGAAGCAGCGCTCTCCTGCAAAGACCTAACTCCCGACAAGAGTACAAGCCAGGATGTCTTTTCTCTCAGATTTTCCGCAGCCAGCCTGCACGCTACAAATCGTTTGAGCTATCACAGCAGTGCGGCCTGATCTTTAAACAAAACCAACAAGCTGAAGCAGGCTGTGATGAAGGGATTCTGCTATGCTGCTGACACAATTAGACAAATTGTTACTAGATTTTGTCAGCTAGTACATTTTTTTCCCCTCATTTTGAGAGGGGGTGATGTACTAAACCCTCCCATTCACCAGAGAACTCCCAGAGCCCTCCATCTATTCAGTTATACTAATTCAATTAGGGGCCTCATCACAGGGCATTAGCTCTTCCCCATGGCCAGTCCCCCCCCACACCCCAGCCAGTATATTCAATTAGCCGCACTGGAAATAAGATGATCACAATGTAGAGGCTGTCATTAAGGGACCAAATTAGCAGTCACTTAAAGCCCAAGTTGGCTGGGTACTGTTGCCAGATGCCAATGTCTGGATAGACCCACCATCTGACCCTTTGCACTTGAGACTTGCTGGGGATGGGCTGTGAGGGGCCCAATCTGACTCTAATGCAGACATCGTTCCAACGAGAAAGAAAAATTGGTGCAAGACAGAATTTTAAAAAAACAGATGCAAAAAAACTGAAGTGAACCGTCTAGGTTAGCCTATAAATGAAGCTACCCTTTATTCTCAGGGTTATGCTTCACAAAACATAATTCCCTCTTGAAACTGCTCCCTTCCTGCATCTACATGATCCATCAATGTCACAGAGGTCTAAACAAGCCGCCCTCAGGAGCTGCTTTTCCAATCAGGCTGTAATTAAACTAAAGCTTGGCTTCATCCCTAGACTCCAAACCAGCGCCGTCCAAAGTCCCCTGCTGCAGGGGCATGTAGAGGGAGGAGGGAGGAGCAGTGGGAGTGGAGAGAGTGGGAGGCTGTTTGTTTTTCTGTCTTGGTGCTTTTTTGACTCATCCAGACCCACAAATCATGGGGTTTTCAGGCATCCTAAATTAATTACGGTCACTTCCCACACAATAGAGAAGACGTGCGTTCCTCAGGGGAACAATAAGTAGCTAACTGCTGACTGACAAATAGACACACATATGTATAAAAGATGGCAACGAGTACACACACACACACACAATGCCCTCCCATGGGTGCACTAATGTCCAGAGCAGCAGATGAACTGGACCAAAGCACTGGCCAAGTGTCAGACCCCAGCTTATATTACGTAGTCCTCTTCAAAGTGTTGCTGTTTGTTTATCTGTCTGCCTGCTTAAACTCACAGCAAGGACATGCCCCATCTCATTTCACATCAGCCTGACATGCAGCGGGGGTAAATGTTCTTCAGGGGCCTCATTAGAAAATGATAAATATAATTAATATTTGAGCATGCTAGCTGAAGCCCCACACTGGAGAATTGGCCTTTTGAACAGAGATGGGGGAGTGGGAGCGCTCCTTAAGGGAGAAGTTTCTGCTCACTGTTTGTGCACATGAGCGTGTGTGTGTGTGTGTGTGTGTGTGTGTGCTGCTTGCGCATTGCCCTCACAGCCAACACAAACACACACCAGTGAAGGTACAAGCAAATGAGAACAAGCATGCGTGTGTTTAGCTCTTAGGGCTTAACTCACCTTGACATGGATGCGTTGACAGTGAGCGCAGTTGGGTAGGGGTGTCTAAAACCCCCTGTTGTGATTGGATAAACAGGTTGACCTTGCCTAAGAAGAGGGAAGAAAAGAAGAAAGACAGAAAGGTAAAGGAACAGAGTTGATGGAAGAGGAGAAGCTAAAGCCCTCTGTCTCTCACTTCTCCCCACCGTGGGCCTCTTTATTCTCATTTGATCAGGACAAAAATCTAGGGGATTGCAGAGCGCAGATCAAAGGGAGGAAAACTCTGAACAATTTGAATGCCACAAATCTTGATAGCAATGGCTAATTAAATTTCATAACCCTTCGCTCTGTGTCGACAGAGTGGGGCCCCGTTCCTCCCCAAGCTGGAACTAGGTGTTTTGTTGTGATAATTAAAGACGAAGCGCGGGTCTCTTTAATGGAGCCATCACACTAATTGAGGTCTACACATCCAAAGACAAACAATAATGAATGTAAATTTATACCAAAATAAAGTGCAGCAAATCAAAGGGCGCCATGGCTGCGCTCAAGGCCTCTCTCGGTATTTAGATCGCGGTGAGAAAACATTAAATTAACAGAGCTTAATTTGTAGCCTTTTGTCATATTAACAAGTGTTGACAAGAGTTACCAGGGGAGAGCCCCTATGTGGAATTGTGGGTAAAATACGGGCAATCACAGTTCATTAATCTAATTGAACCATACACAGACATGCAAAATAGTATTTGACACAAAATAGCAAGTTGAGGTTGGTGAGGGCTTAAAGGAGCTGCTGCTGTGGTTAAGCAGCGAGTGTGGAAGTTGGTGGGCCAGCGAGAGACAGAGAAAGCTTTTAAAACTGTGTCCATAAATCCATAAATGAAATGTATGAAAGGTAATATCCACTTTTCTTGTTTACAGCGCCACTCTTTAATGGTTTAGCTTGATGCGCACCTTTATGCTTAGCAATCATCACAGCATGAAGATGTTTCTAGCCTTTCCGCACAACTCACAGGAGAATAAAGATGAAAGAGAAGTAAAAAAAGGATTTGCTTACTGTGGTACTAACCATCCCAGCGGATGGGGGATCTGGCCGACAGTGCCAGGTGACAGTGGGTAATAAGGAGATATATCTGGAGGATGTGGAGGCCTTGGAATTCCTGTGGAAGAAGAAAAAGTAGAAAAAGAAGATGACAGGAGGAGAGAGGAGGTGGACAGGACGAGACGATGACAGAGAGAGGAGAACCAAAATCTTTGTCAGTGCTGGGATCTTTTCTTTGTTCAGTTTCACATATGAACGGGGCAGACATCACAGGAGTGCAGATGGGAGGAAGAGGAGGAGGAAGAGGGCTTGTTGCATCGAATGTACACAGTGCTAAATCACACTTCCTGATCAAAGGCCTTTGAGGCGGCACAGCGGCACAGTGTGTTGGAAGAGGCAGAGGGGAAGAGAGGTGAGGAAAAAACACCAACACGATTCTTGTCACATTTGTCTGGTGACTCAGAAGATTAATGATATAAAATGACTGAGGTTTAGAAGTTAACAAAACATAGTATCATAATTAAAGCTTTCTATCTGATCAAAGAGCTGCCAATATGAGGCTAGCAGTTGAATCTGCCCGCTGATTTACACTGACAGTCCTCGCTGTATGGGCGTAGTTATTACATACATGAATAAACAAAGCAGTTAAGAGCTTCCTTTTTTTTCAAATTCACCTCAATATTTCTGGATTTAAATCAGATTAATAGTCAATTAGCTTTACATTCGATGCTACCAGAAGTACAACGCAGTGACGATCAAACCCCAATATCCGATCATCAAGTCTCCATTCGTTGAAGTGATCCTCAGATTTAGCGTAAAACAAGCAGCAAATTTTGTTTTTCACCCACCGACGGTGACAAAGATATCCAATTTAAGGACAGCTCTTTTTGAGGGCATCGCCGAGCAATCACAGCATCCACGGTGTTGCCTTTACTCTCTGTGGCAGCTGACAGGCGAAGGAGCTGCATCGACAAGCTGCCCCGAACGAATGCCTTGAAAAGGTCTCGTACACAGCCGGCTGTAAAAATAACTTTCTCTCTCATGACAAACTTCAAACAGGGAACACTAGACAAGTGTAAAAGTGTGGCAGGGAGGGGTTTATGTGCAGCAGACCAGGAACTGGGGGACATTTTTTATTTCTTTCTTTTTTTGGCTGGCTGATGTGCGTTTCTTCCACACAGCTTGCTTTTTGCCCATCCAGCTGATGCTTCAGGTATTTTGGCCTGTGGTAACAAAGCCAACGTAAACCCAGATGAATCTTCATAGATTAAAGACGTTGGCTTCTGCTGGTGTTTGTTCCCAGCTGATTTAGCTCATCCAGGATCTGACTCTTGAGGAATTATGGTACGTATGGACTCTTTTTTTCCAAAGCAGAAAACTTTTCTTGGGAGTACAGTTATACCAAAAGTGAGTTCTATTAAAAAAAAAAAAAAAAAAGAAAGCCTGTGGAAAATTATCCCATCGCCACCCAGCGCTCAAGACCTAATATAGCTCATTAATTAATTAAACACTGTGCCCAATTAAGCAGCCCCATTAAGCACTACATTAAACAGCAGCTGGCACATTATTTCCCCTTTGTAAGGGCCATCATAATAAGGGAACATTATTACCTAAAACACTAAGTGAATCCACCAGAGACCTCTGAAAAGCATGAAATTATTCAGCACACTGAGAATGCATTAACCTGAAAGGACGGGCTGAATGACAGTTAGCAAAATTAAGTGCTGGGTCAAGATGCTCGTGGAAATGAATGAAATTGCCTTAAAAAAAAGTGCGCTGAATGAATGTAGGAGACTGAATTGTGAGTATAAACATGGACACTGACTGCAGGATCAACAGGCTATAAAGCAGGCGTGGAGAAAACCTGTAAAAGTCTGTGTAAATCTTTCATACCGAGGAGTTTTGTGCACTTAGTTGAAAACTGTGTGCTTGCTGGTCTTTAAAAGTAAAGAGCTCCCACTACAGTGGCAGTATTATTTTGAGCATTGGCAATTAGAGCGGTGGCTGTTTACTGAATTCCACGTTTAACGAGAAGTTTACGAGGCACTCTGCAAGCTTGTTGTTCTGAAATGTAAGGCCCTTTTTTTTTTACCCCCCTCAATCAAAACCAAACAATTTTAGTGAGCATGATAGCTGAATCAATCAGAAACAAATTAGAGCAGCAGTTTTCAATAAGAAGCACTTGAGCTGACCTTGTCCTACATTAAGTATCTTGTAAACAGTGCTAGTCATGTTTATGAAGTCATCAAATGAGCAATTAATGGATAAAATAAGCTTTTTTTTTTTGTTTCATTCCTTTTCACGTTACCTGCATTGAAAGTGTGACATGAACACGACTACATACTGTTCAAAGAGCTGTGGTTCCCTTATCAAAGAAGAGAAGCTTATGTGTTTTTTCACCCCTTGAGACTTATTCTTAATTTGTTCGGAACATAATTGGGTTTTCGGGAGGTTCATCCTGTCGCTTTTGGAAAACAAGTGCACTTAATTCTGAAGGTGTTTCGAGCAGAAATCAAGCACGCCAGTTAAACTTGTGTGAAAACACTCTGGACCGTACCTGTTTTGGGATCCACGTCTGTCTGTAGGTGAGGTGGGGGGTTCCCCGGTGTGAAGTGTTCATTGCTGTAGGTGATCAGAGGCGTGAGAGGGTGCACATGGTGGGGGTGCTGTACCACTGGAACCTTATTAGACTGAGAGACAAGAGAGAGGAGGAGGATACAGAGAAAGATAGATGGACAGCGATAAAGAAAGAGGAAAGGAGGGGAGAGAGAGAAAAAAAAAAAGAGGCGAGGATGTTAATATTTGGGATGTGAGTTAAAGATTGCAGGCGCCTGCCATAGAGTTACAACTTGAAAGTTCTCCAAAGAAGAGCTATCAAATTCTGGGTATACTCAAGGCGCCAAACCACCAAACCACAGTGAAAATAGCATGGTTTGTAATTAAAAACACTTCTGTGGTGTCACTCTGGAATTCGGTAACACAATCTAAGAGGCTTGTGGGGTTGCCTGTTCACATTTGAGTTTGATGTGTGATGAGGCACTTTTAACCACGGTTGTAAGTGAAGTAATCGATCATCTGTAAACCACAAAAATCAAGGGAGCACGCGCGTATATCCACAGTCATTAGCAGCTCTCCGCTCAGCTCTCGAGCCTCCTTCTGCTATCCCCTTCCCTCTATCTATTCCCCCAGGGCCCCAGTTCACGGAGGGTATGGGTGTATTGTAATAAAAGGGTTAGGAGAGAAGAGGTGGGGCCGTAAATCCATTTCTGCATTTTTGCCAAATTAGGTTTAGCTATGTAATCTTCTCTTTGTGCTTCTAAGTGGCGCAGGCCCCCTTTTTTTTTTTTTTTTCAATTACCCAAAGATTACAGTTGAGCTTTAGGGGTGTGCTGCCGTGGGCCCCTGTGTTAACCGGAGCTCAGCCCCCCTCTCATCAGGCCAGGGCTGGGGACAGACTAATACACACAGTCCCCAACCACAAGATAACCAGATTAGAGCTCTGCTGTAGATTAGGCTGGTGGCAGAGGCTGCTCTCGCCTCTTTACCCACACATCCTTATCCTGCCCTCAGCAGTCAAAGAAGCAGCACTAATCAGGCTTATCATAACATGGATGATATGTTCAGGGGGAGAGGAGTGAGACACCAAGCTGCTTGCGTGCGTATGTGTGTGTTCAGTCTGCTCTCTCGTAGGCCACACACCCTCATTAGTGACTTTAACCCATGCAAGAAAGAAAGAAAAAAAAAAGCTCCACTGTGGCACATTTCCAAAAGACTTTGAAAAACATTAATGGGACTAGATGTTGGCAGGGGAGGAGGAGGAGTGTGTGTGTGTGGGGGGGGGGATACATGCATAAGATACACAGCTGCCCAGTGCTCATTGACAATACAAATGCAAAGCTACGGGCCCAGGGCAAGACAAATGTGAGCAGAGATTAATGCTGCAAACTAATCATCCGCCCAGTCTGTTTGAGGCTGAAGTTAATATCGTGTCTGTGTGAGAGCCCGATGCAGCAACAGCCCATTCAGAGTCCCGTGCTAAATTTTCACTGGGTAGTTAAAGCTGTCTATCTGCATGGTCGGTACAAGCATGGCCATCTAGACCTCTATTCTATAATGGCAATGCTGGGGGAGTGGGAAGAGTGTGTGTGGAAGAGGGGTGGGGGGCATTCCCTATTGCCGTGGTCCCAATGAAAGATTAATGAACCCCAGCAGAACTCCAGGGAGGCAGAGAGAGACTCCTGGGACTCATTCACAGCCCTGAGCTGAAAAGGCTAGGGATGGGAAAAGGGAGAGAGGGTTTGGGGCGGGTGTGTGTGTTTGTGTGTCAGGGTTGGAGGGGTGGATAGATGGAATGGGATTCGTTAAAAAGAAACACAAACGAAGGCACTCATTGTTGCTTAGGGAATCCTTATCTGATCTGCACACCCAGAATACAGGGATGCAAAAAAGGTGGAAAAAACAATCGTGATAGAGGTTACGGCAGCTGCTGAATGTGGCCGATGAGTCGGCAGCTGAATGCTAGAAGACGGCCTCGGTCTCTCCCTCTCTCCCTCTTTTTGTCCCCCCATCCCCACCACCTCATCGCTCACCTCCTAACCTCCTCCTTCACGTCTCTCCGCTCCTCCCTCGGGTAATGATGTGAAAGAATGTTGTCAATTCTTCAACTCTCTGCGCTGAAAAAGCTTTAGTGGACTTTTAAATGAGTTCTTTTGTCCAGGGACCCCGGCCATTGAGAAGACAGTTCAAAATGCCCATCCACTGAGTCCACATTTAGACAGAGGGTGTTAGAGAGGGTGTGTATAGGACTAAGAGGGAGGGAGAGAAGTAGAGGGCAGACGATTTACATCACAGTCACTTGTGGTATAAGAGTGTCCTCATTTTTTTTTTCCTGAAAAGCTCAGAGTGATGCAAATAGCAGTAGGCTGAACTGCCTGCTGGAGGTGGAAAAATGTGAAGCCAGAAAAAGGACACTGTAACATAAACTCAAGTTTTGGTGTTTGTTGCAAGACTTTAAAGGTAGGTCCTTTAAAAGAAGCCTTTATAGTTTGAGGACTCAAGAATTGGTCAAACTAGCCCCCACTGTGTTATCTACATCCTGCTTACATCAATCAGTCAGCTGATATCGACCTCCTTCCATCAGCTAATACGCACACTGCATTTTTTGCAATCATCATAACTTCCTGCTGACGTCAAGACAGTACCCGGTGGTCCCTTGCGGAAAAGAGGCCCAGCACCTGCCCTGTGGCCCACTGTGGGACAATGCAAGGCCCAGGACTCGTCTAGCAGGCTGCTGGGTGCTTGAGCCGCACAGGGCCCACACAGGGAAACAAAAAGCAGGCGACGTGGGAGGCTTTACTCTCCCTGCTCCACAAAAGCCAGGGGTAAAAAGAAAAGAACATTTCCTGCCCCTACACCCCCGCTGACTCGCATCCTTCCCACCACCTATGTCGTGAAAATAAACAAATATAGCAGGAGACGGACGCGCCGCTCTGCAGATGTGACGAGCTGATTCGCGAGCTCGAGAAAGAGATTTCGCATTCAAAACAGCCTGAAGTAAAATTTAAGGGCACCCTCTTGTGCGAACATCAGTGAGCACGTTTACTCTTTCCACATCCAGGACACAGATATGGCACCTGCTGCTGAAATCTACCCAGCAGACACAAACAGAAGCAGCAGTTGTTGGCGTTTGATTGTGTTATTAATATCGCCTTGGCTCTTTTTTTTATTCTGATCCGCTCCTCTTTCTTCCAGATGTGAGGTTAAAATGCTCACAGGAAGCCTGCATGTTTTAATAGGGTCATAATCAGCCTCTTCCTGCAAATTCAATCCATTTCAGCAAGTGCATAAATAAAAACTATATATAATATATATAGTAGCTGGTAACTTCCATCAGTGAAAAGCCTTTCAGATGTCAGACCTTTTGGAAGGGAGATGGGGTACAGGAGAAGTCAGGGGGGGAATAAAGTGACAGCAGGACAGAGTAAGACAAAGGGAGGGGGACAGAGAGGTGGAGGCCAGACAGGAAAAAGCTGTTGGCCTTGCATTTCCGCCTGGTGGGACCTTGCAGGGCCAATTTGAGCCCTAAATGTGAAGGTGGCGACCTTGTGGGCCCAGTGGGTGGCTGGGCAGGGGGATAGAGCCTCTGTCTCCCTGCTTCATGTCATGATATGATGAGTTGTCACAACAGCTTGCAGGGCGCTAATGAGCTGTAGTGAGGCCGGGGCAGGGAAGGGAGACCGGGAAGAGAGGGGTGAGGGATGTGGGGATGACAGTGGCGTGATGGATTGGGGTCCTCCAAATTCCAAAGCAAGCAGAAAAAGCTGCCAGAGCACACTGCCTCTCCCAGAACACGCAAGTGGCCGGAATCCAAATCACATGGAGTGACACCATACAGAAAACAACACAACAGCAATAGTGGGAAGGGGGGAGATGTGTGTGCGCATGATTTGATATAAAGCAAAACAAAACAAAAAAAAAGAAACAAAGTACAAACGGTGCTGCCACTAATCTAATCATCTGGTATCAATCGATGCTGTCCTGCTGAAATCTGTTTACACAGAATTAGTTTTCCTTTGGGAGGCATAGAGTGCCCCCTCCAGGCTACAGATATTAATCTCTAAGCAAACGCCATATCATACCGATGAATGTTCAAACACACACGCACACACACGCACGCTAGTCCTCGTAGCACTCAGCCAAATCAATCCTCAGATTCAAGCAGACAATCTAAAGGAATACTTAGAGATTAACAGCGATGGAATATGAAATGCTCTGACAAATTACAGGCTTATCAAAGCCATGACCTTCCAGGATAACATGCTGATTAAAACTCTGCTACATTTCAAAAATAATAATTTTTTGGTTAATCAGAAGAAGAAGCAGGAGAAGAAGAAGAAGAAGAAAACTCCTCAAAATATTAAGAACCTGGGGATTGTAAGGGGGAGGGGGGGGTGATTTAAAAAGCAGATATGGAGGTGTTGATCAGTTTTCTCTTGCAGAGAAGATGCGTCTCCGAGGGCAAGAGGCTCCCGAGACCACAGTATATTTAAAAGTTAATCTATTCACTTTGCTGCAGTGACATGCTGACTGCTTGATCAGAGCGCTGAACAAAAATATTATGTGGGCCAGAGCCTTTGCTCCCCTTCCTCCTGCTCTCTTCACTAACACTCAAGTCATTCGTCATCATTTATTTTTTTCCTTCTGCTTCCCATCTTTGATAGTCGGCACATCAAATAGAATCGCAGAAAGGACATGTTCTGATATGTCACAGATAAATAAAACTGCGCACAAATAGCTTAAATATGAAGTGGTATTTTGGTAGAGCTGTTGTATTCTGTGAAGACAAATCATCCTCTTAGACACACGTGTGTTCAAGCTTTTTTCCCCCTCTTCCTTTTCAGTGTAAACAGCCTCTTGAACTCACATACCTGAGTTAAAGGAGGCTTCTCTGAGAGGTGATATTGTATGACGGCGTTAAGAGCCAGACTGAACTGTGCCTTTTGAAATGCAATCAGTCCCTAAGAATTTCATCAGAAAGCCGAGCAATTAGAATCTGAATTGAATGGCAACATTAACAAAAGAATATGTTAATCTGTGAGGTTGCCCCAAATCTTATTTTACATTTCACAGCTAAGACATGAGTTTGATCAAATATTATCAAGTAAATAATTCTCCTCTTGAGAGAATCACGTCTATTGCCTTTTTAATTAATTTAAGCACATTGTTTATAACGTTTATTATGTGGGCTTTAAAGTTATGCTCACAAGTGTGTGGCAAAAAACAAATAAATAAATAAAAATATTTGGGATACTGGTCTTGGATCAAGCCCAGGCATGCACATACACAAGCACACAAACATGCACGAGTTTTCAACGTCAAAGTATTTCTAACAGGCTTTTTTTTTTTTTAAAAATCAATGACCACCACTCTCTCAGCCACCCCCCCCCCCCCCCCCCCCCCAAAAAAAAAAACCAAAACAAAACATTCTCTCTTCTCTCCCTCCCTTTCCCCTCACCTATCTACAACCGGCCTGCACCACAACAGCTACCTGTCAAAACAATGTTAAAACCCTTCAGTGGTAAGAAAAAGCAGAGACAGTGAAGAAGCAGGGGAGCAGCGTTACTCACCCAGCTGCTCAGATTGAGGTGCCAGCAGCCCACCTGCTGGAGGAGAGAGAGCCCGGGGCCTAGGACTCCTGCCTTGGCTCCCGTCTCCTCCGGCCCGGCTGGAGCTCCATCCCGCGGGTACATGACCCCCTCGGTTCCACCCCCACCCCCGCCTTCTCCTCCTCCTCCTCCTCCTTCTTCTTCCACCTGGCCCCCCCCCAGCTCCTCCTTCCCCGTCTACGTCGGGGAAAAGCCCTCTCACTTTCCTTGGCCGCTCCTCTCCTTCACTTCTTCTCTTCCTCCTTTGTCTGTTCCTGTCTTGACTCCTTCCTCCACTGTGTGCGAGTGTATTGCCGGGCATGTGTGGCGCGAGCGTGCATATGTGTTTGTCGTCCCCCCTCGCTTTGCGTTTGGTGCCGCAGCCAGCTGACCATTGTTCCCTCAGGTTTTTGACATTAGAGTGCGTGTCTCCTGACGTGTCTAGAGCAGGCTCAGGGTCTGAGGCCTAGTTTCCCCCCCCCATAAACACACAGTCACCAAATCCTCTCCACCCACCCACCCACATCTGCCTGCTCAAAAAAAAAGGAGGAAAAAAAAGAGGAAAGAAAATCCCCCAAAATCCTTCACTCTAACCACAGAAGCACTTGCTCTTTGCGGCCACCAGTCTCCTCTTCTTTGTCAGAGAAAGTTTTGATGCCGGTGACAAGAAGTATAAGAAGTGAAAGCCAGAATGTGGACAGAGAGAAGGAAAAATTACTCTGAGCAGTTGTTCAGCACCGCAGTAGTCTTCCCACTAGCTATACTCCAGAAAAAAATACTCACAAACACACACACACACATACATATACACACAAAATCAGTTATTACCCAAATCCCTGCTGTACGTTGGGTCTGTGTATGTGTTTCTTAAGAGTATGTGTGTGTATGTGTGTGGGCTCTGCTGTGCCTCCAGGATGCCCAGAGACGAACTGGCAGCTTGAAAAGCTTTGGCTACAAGGTAAAGCGAGTAAAGCGAGAGATGGAGACAAAGAGGAGAGAGAGAGCAGGAGAGAGAGAGAGATAGAAAGTGGAGAAAAAAAAAAGGAACAAGACACAACAACATCCACAAAGGGAGGGCAGGCTCAGCAAAGTGTGGCCAACAGTCACTTTATCTGTGTGATGCTGACAGTCCCCTCTTCATGCCCACTTTCCAGGGGAGAAACCAAGGAGAGGGAGAGAAAGTCTTCACTCTGACACAGACGTGGCACCTTTCGTTGCAATCTTTCTCTTTTTTTTTGGTTCCTGTCCTCTACCCCGCTCTACTTTTTTCCCTCTAAACAATACCTTAGAGTGGAGAACAATTCTTCTTTTAACCCCCCTCCTCCCTCCTTCCAACTCAATTCAAGGTTCATGTGAACAAGGCCTCGAGCCCCTCCTCACTGCCCTCTCTTCCCTGTTCTCCTTTTTCTCTGCAACTATTTCACCTTCAAGACCATTATTCTTCTGAATACTGAAACCAAACAATAAGCTTTGTGTGGTCAAGATTTTTTTTTTCCCCCCCGAGCAATTCAAAAGATGTGCCATCCACTGCAGAAATAGACGAGATGTATTTAAAAGGGAAATCCTTCAAACGAGACTTTTCATTTATTATTTAAAAAAAGAAAATAAAAACGTTCCAGAATTTTGCAATGCTGTTTGTTCGCTTTATTTATTTAGTTTTGGGTGTAGCAATAAAATAATAAATAAATAAATATCCAAAAATATTTTGTTCATTCTAACATGACTAAAAATAAGAGAAGAGGAAATAGAAAAAGTTTAGTACAGTTTAGTTTAGTAAACTGAGAAGAAACAAAAGAAATGCTACATGTTGAGGAAAATTTCTTTTTCAGTGCAACAAATTAATTATTTAAAGTAATAAGTCAAGCTGTCACACTTTTTAAAGAGATTTTAAATTTTGCGTTCTATAATAATAATTAGGATTGCCTTATTTTAATTATCTAAACACCTGGACCTGAATAAGAACCATGACAAATTAAATATTTATAGAATAAATGTCACATTTATTCAATTTTTTTTAACATGACCTAAATAAGAATATCAATAAAAAAAAATTAAAAATAAAGTTTAACTACAGTGAGAAAATTTGTATGTAGAAACAAGCAATAATTTCTTTTTTGGAAGTGAGGTCAGAGAAATGAAAACACAAATGTTTCTCATTACAGCATTTTAAAAGCTGGCAACAGAAACAACTGCAAAGTTTTTTTTTCTTAATACAACAGAGACTTTGTTTTCCTCAAAATACGCTCTCGCTTTCTTTTCCTCCTGCACTCGCTCAGCCTCTCTGCTGCTGTTAGGACCCTGCTCTTCCCCTGGCCTGCAGCAGGCAGTCCTGAGGCCCTTAAAGCCAAAACAAAGCCCTGGGAATGTCCTTTACACAACTTGAACAATAGCGCCGGGGCTCCAGCTTGACAAGTAAAAGAGCTCCGACAAGGCGGTGGCTAATTGCCTGCCCTCCCTCCATTCAGCCGCCCCGCCACACTCCTGCCATCTCCTTTTGTCCCACGTGCACTTTCTTAAGTAAACTGCCAGTTTGCCAGCAAGTGATGGACAGCTCCCAATCATCCGGCCACAATGGCATCAACGCCACAACACAAGAGAGCACAGGGAGGATAAAAAAAACTTTTAAAAACCCTCTTTTTTTTTATTCGACGGTCTAAGATGTTCGCACGAGACCGAAAAGTGTGCGAGGGGAAAAAAAGAAAAGAAAAAGAATGACGGACAAAAAGTTTTACAAAACAAGGAAATGAAACAACCTATGACCTTAGCAGTTCATTGTTTTCTCTGATAAATCACAACAATCGGAGGCAAAATGCACGAGCACCAACTTCAAAGTCCTCAGCAATTACTATAATAATTACAGTATAATTATGATATTTCCAAAAAATTCTATTTGAGTAAAAACAATTGAAATTCTTTTAAACACACAAAATCCAAATTAAATATTGACTCAGATTTTTTTAAATATTACCAGAAGAACGAGAACAACAGATGTGAGCGATGATCAGATTTACTTAAATTAAAACGTCAATAAAATATATATTTTAAAACTGATTCGATACGAATAACAGCATGCATGAATTAAAACGTGAAATAGCAGCATTTTATTTTTTAAAGCACACAATAAATAAGAATCGTATTTGGTTTGATGTGTTAGAATAATGCACCCCTGTCAGGCTGTCAGGACAAAGCAATCAAACAGTGCCTTTCATTATCCAAATTGTCAATCTGTCACTTAGCAACATAAGTGTTATAAATTGCCAAACGGAGCACAGAAAAATATCCACGGATAGATTCAACCAAAACATGATATTTAAAGTCAAACAAGCACCAGAAAATTAAGCACAGCTGTAATTAAAATGTTGAAAAGTCTTACCATTTAAAAGAGCTGTATTTGAGATGCTGCTCGGTTCCTGGTTAAAACAAGCATGCTGGCACTCATGGTAGTGCACAGACTCCAAGCAGACTCCCACCACCATGTCAGCCACTAATCCACTGGGGGGCAGCACCTCATCTACGGCAGCCCCTCGCTAAAGCCCGATGGGTTAAGCCGATAAGACAGCGGCCGGAGGACCGGGCGACAGCCAAGGTAATGCTGGAGCGAATTTAGGACGGCAGCCCTTCGGGTCCCAGAGCGGGGGGGAAGGACCGCGAGCGAGCGGCCAGAGCTGGCTGTTCACTTTCAGCCACCTCACGCATTCAAACGCACACTCAGAGGCTGCGCTGCTCTTCTCCGCGTCTGTCCGGGACTCCCTCTTTACCCCTTGCCCATCTTCATATCCCCCCTAATAAGCTCTTTTGTGTCCATCTCTCTTTCTTTGATAAGTTGAAAGAACAACAAAAAGAGGGCGAGAAAGAAAAGCTTTCATTCAGCTTGCTTGGAAGACATAAAGGTAGTGGAGTGCTGTCTATAGGAGTTGCCCTAACTTGGCTAAACTCAAGCAGCGGGGTGTCTCTCGTCATGTCATTAATCCCCAAAACTAGCCACGCTCCATTCACTGCTAGTCACACTAAATTAAATGCAAAATCAAAAACACAAACGCCGGGCAGAAGAAGTGTCAGAAAAAGGGGAAAAAAAGGCTAGAGAAAGCTTTCCGATCCAGGGCAAAGGGTGTGTGGTGTTGCAGCCACGTTGCCCCTAAGTCCTGCCCGTCGGTAGCCCCAATTTTTGATGTAGGAAGCCCCGGGAAGAAAAAAAAAAAAAAAACAGTCTCACAAAAGACAAAAAAAACAGACATTTATCACCAAAAGAGCCTGTCACTGTAGTACAGCTTTTGCACCTCCAACTCTCCTGCCTGAACTCTCTTAAGACAACTGAGGGGGGAAAAGGAGCCCCAACTCCAAAGTCAAACCTGCCAGACAACAAGGCAACAACAGCAGTTAAAACAATACCCAAAAATACAAATAAATGGATACAAGCTGTGGACGGTTTTCAGGAGAGCTGGCAATAGTAAATTCAACCCGGCCAACTGGTGGCTTGAAGAGAGGAAGCCCACTCTTAAAGCCGTGATCCGACCATCCGCTATACCACCGCTGTGAGCCTTTTAACCACAGCAGAAAAAAAATTACTATTGATCTTCAAATGGCGATAATTGAAAAGATCAAAAAGATTAAACAAAAAGAAAAAGAGAGAAAAATCAAGAATGTGCTGACTTACCATGTTGTGCTCCTTTTTTGTTGCAAGATTTTGTTTAAATAAAAAAAATATTTGCTCAAAGATGCAGCATTGGAGGTGTCAAATTTTTGTAGCCGTCTCTTGATCGTATTACTTCCACAGTCCTGGTTTCCAATGCGTCTGAACTTTTTCCCTTTCTCTTTTATTTTGTTTGTGGTACCTAGCCTTTTTTTCCCCCTGCTTAAGACTTTAAAAGCCTTCAGCTCAGTAAAGCAGCACAAATTATCTTGCCACCTTGCTCAGCTCTGATGCTTTGGCCGCTAACTTTGGAAGGCCCTTTACTACTGCATCAAAATTAGCATTGTCAAAGCAGTTAATGAATATTAATATTGTATTTGTCATTGGAGCTGGCCCATTGCTGAACTCCAAGTCATCCATCAGGGACAAGATTAAGCACACAATTATTTCTGACTGACAGGGACCAAATCTGGAAGATTTTTTTTCCCCTCCAACAATTTAAAGAAAAAGACACAACATCATCTTAAGGTACCTCCCATGAGACGAGACAAGATTAATACACTTTTAATGAAGCAAGATTTCATGGTGCACGAACAGCAGGAACCTCGAGAAAAAAAGGAGAGAGGAATATAGAAATATTTCGGCTCAATTTCTACAACCATTTAAGCACTGGATTTATAAATTACAACTAATTTCGATGACAGGAGACAAAATTTTACCTCAAAGATTTATATTTTTTTTGGAGTGAAAAACATTTGTTCTCTCAGGTATCTTTATTAATACATAAAAGCTGGATTTCACCTTTTTTTTCTTTTGATCATAGAAAAAAATAAGACGTGCGTGCGCTTCAGAGTGAGCGTCGCTGGAGATAAATTTAACATGAAACAATAATTAAAACACGGGACCTCCGGCTCTCTCGGCAGAGCCCGACGGATCGCCGACCGCTGAGGACCACACAGGCAGCCTGCATCAGCACCACCCGCTGCACCAGCTCCATCCCGGAGCTTTCTCCCCTGCTTCGCCGCCCGCTTTCCACTGAAACGGCATCACAACCAGCAACTACGGCTCCCGGCACAATTTTCCAAACCTTCATCGAACGTGTGACCATTCTTATTATTATCTGAATAATAATAATAATAATGCTGGTTTCATTTCTCCAATGAAAATCCTCATCGGAATTGTTTAGTAAATTTAAAGCTCTCGTTGAAATATTTACCTCAACAAATATCACTGCTACTAACACGTGTCTAGAAAAACTAAGCAGATGACGCATCATCTTCTTTACTTCTCTGTATCCAAAGCACCTTTTGCATGATTTAAAAAAATACAAAACACTTTTCTTAGTATTGTAAATGTTGCCCAGCTTTCCCAGCAGCATCCTTCCTTTCCCCACAATTATCTGATTTCTCTTCTCTTTTCAATCATTTCAATCGGGGGAACGGACAAATTCTTACCGGGTCCAATTAAAACTTATTTTCTGTTACTTTCTGTCGTCTGAAGAACACAACCATAAAATAAAGCGAAAAGGCACAGACGCAGTCGCACAAAAAAATGGCAGATGTGGGGCACTAATGCCAGCAGCCCAGTGAATTGGTGTGAGTGTAGGGGTCAAGCTGCGGGCTCACCTTGGAGCGCCGAGCCCCTGCCGACCACCCTGCCGGCTACCTAATACCATTAGTAACCCTTAGATGAACATACTAAATTGGCCTTTTGTTCTCCAGGAGCTGATCCGGCCTCACCAACTCACTGGTATCACGGCACCGAATGCAGATGGTGCTGGTTTTCTCTGAGATGAATAGCGCGCTTGAGAAAGCGCTGCTTCATCCCGAATCGCCCGATCTCTAAAAGCCACCGGCGCGGCATTATCTTATTTTATTGTATTTTTTAAATGATGTCGCTTTTAAAAAAAAAACTGGAAATAATTCTTTAGATTTTTCTTTTTTACCAGTTTATTTACTTTTAAATCTGAAATTTAACTAAGTGTGTGTCATACATATAATTTTGTATAAAAATGTGAAACTCTTAATTTGCAAGATTGTTCAATGTTTGATTTCACCAGCTAAAAATTGTAAATGTAATAAAATTAGGAAGCTAACCTAGTTTAAAAAAAAATCGAATTAATTGTGGGTTTAAATAATTATCTCAATTATCACAACGTATCGCTAAAAATATCAAAGAATCAAAATTTCAAATGTGCATCACTAATAAATCATTTCTAATTAAAAACATAAGAAATTTAGATTTTAAACATACATCTCTTTAAATTCAAATAAGTGCAGGGAAGGGAATGACTCAAATTTAAATTACAATTAATAAAACAATCTTTTCATTGTTGTGACAAGGGCACAGACACTGATTAAGTGTTCACACAAGGCCGTCTATGAAAACAGGCACCAAATGCTGCGAATTAATTCAAGTTGAGAGCCTAAAACAGGTCCAATCTAGGTGAGGAGGAGAGAAGGGAAGGGAGAGACGAAAGTGAGCGGAGCAGCCAGCTCTGTGGCCCAGCGTGATCACATCAGCGCTAGTATCAAATTAACTCTCTGACTTTGAAATTTATTGATCTGCTATTAAGACACTAGTGAACTTGATGAAGTGAGTGCTGTAGGTGACTCTGGGACTTCAAAGTGTTGCACCAGCCACATAAAACAAGCCACTTTGATCCCGGCTCCGCTCCTCGGATCTGGAGAGGGGGCTTCAGAGGAACCCCCAATTCTGCTCTCCTCTCTTCTCCCACTCATCCCGGGCCCGGGCTGCGGCTCTCTCTTTCCCTTTCCACATCTGTTGATGCCCCAAGAACCGGCAAAGCACCGCTGGCACACAGTGTTCAATCGCAGTAGTGCACAGTGGTGCAGACAGATGTTTTTTCTGATTCACTGAGAAATCATAATAAAGCAACACACACACACACACGCACACCAAAAAATGCAATACGATGTCAAAACAACAACTAGACTAAGGCGGCCATCTAAGCGCAATGGCATTAAAATTCAGTGTCGATAAGAAGGGGATTCTTCATGCCAAATACGGCATGTAATAAGGTCGACGATGAGAGAGACAATGCAGAGTGGAAGATAGCGGTACTATTGTGTGGTGAATACATCCCCCTCTTCGCTTAAGGCAAGTCTTCCCACTACATTAAATATTGTGTGCTGCCAATCACACCTGCCTTTTTTTTTCATTTTGTGCCACTGGGTGGAGGTAGTAGTTAATGTTTTCAACATGCACTCTTATCACTACAATATACTGAAGCAGACACAAACCACAGCCGGCCCACAGAACACCACCTCATCTCCACAAACTAAAAACATTACAGGACAAAATACAGGAAATAAATACGGAAAAAAAGCAACAACTAAATAAAATCCTATTTGTTTCCTCTCATCATTTTGCAACAAAACAGCCTACAAAACTTAGGTTTGCCCTCCACTGAGCTGCTAACTTAGCGGGATCAAGTAAAATAAATATTAACGGCTAAATTAATCATCGGGAGGACAGTGTTTGCACTCAAGCTCCAGTGCTCAAAGGCAGGGGTGTGTATGTGTATGTGTGCGCTTGTGCGTGAGTGTGTCTGCACTTGGAGTGCCGGGGCTAAGCTGCGTCTGTTTAATTAAGAGGGGTAAAACAGATGACAAATGCGAGACAGTTAAACATTTAATGTGTGCTTATCTCCCCCCTCATTTATTTAGTTGGGAGAGATTCAGAGTGGGTGGCGTTTAAGAGTGATGTGCCGGCG